TCTTCGTGTCTCTTCTACATAAACATGTGTCCCCTCTTCTTCGTGTCTCTTCTACATCAACATGTGTCCCCTCTTCTTCGTGTCTCTTCTACATCAACATGCGTCCCCTCTTCTTCATGTCTCTTCTACATCAACATGTGTCCCCTCTTCTTCATGTCTCTTCTACATCAACATGTGTCCCCTCTTCTTCATGTCTCTTCTACATCAACATGTGTCCCCTCTTCTTCATGTCTCCTCTACATCAACATGTGTCCCCTCTTCTTCGAGTCTCTTCTACAATCAACATGTGTCCCCCTCTTCTTCATGTCTCTTCTACATCAGCATGCGTCCCCTCTTCTTCATGTCTCTTCTACATCAACATGCGTCCCCTCTTCTTCATGTCTCTTCTACATCAACATGTGTCCCCTCTTCTTCATGTCTCTTCTACATCAACATGTATCCCCTCTTCTTCATGTCTCTTCTAAATCAACATGCGTCCCCTCTTCTTCATGTCTCTTCTAACATCAACATGTGTCCCCTCTTCTCCGTGTCTCCTCTACATCAACATGTGTCCCCTCTTCTTTGTGTCTCTTCTACATCAACATGTGTCCCCTCTTCTTCATCAACATGTGTCCCCTCTTCTTCGTGTCTCTTCTACATCAACATGTGTCCCCTCTTCTTCATGTCTCTTCTACATCAACATGTGTCCCCTCTTCTTCATGTCTCTTCTACATCAACATGTGTCCCTCTTCTTCATGTCTCTTCTACATCAACATGTGTCCCCTCTTCTTCATGTCTCTTCTACATCAACATGTGTCCCCTCTTCTTCATGTCTCTTTACATCAACAACATGTGTCCCCTCTTCTTCATGTCTCTTCTACATCAACATGTGTCCCCTCTTCTTCATGTCTCTTCTACATCAACATGTGTCCCCTCTTCTTCGTGTCTCTTCTACATCAACATGTGTCCCCTCTTCTTCACGTCTCTCCTACATCAACACGTGTCCCCTCTTCTTCACGTCTCTTCTACATCAACACGTGTCCCCTCTTCTTCACGTCTCTTCTACATCAACCGTGTCCCCTCTTCTTCACGTCTCTTCTACATCAACACGTGTCCCCTCTTCTTCATGTCTCTTCTACATCAACACGTGTCCCCTCTTCTTCATGTCTCTTATACATCAACATGTGTCTCCTCTTCTTCATGTCTCTTCTACATCAACAAGTGTCCCCTCTTCTTCATGTCTCTTCTACATCAACATGTGTCCCCTCTTCTTCATGTCTCTTCTACATCAACATGTGTCCCCTCTTCTTCATGTCTCTTCTACATCAACATGTGTCCCCTCTTCTCCATGTCTCTTCTACATCAACATGTGTCCCCTCTTCTTCATGTCTCTTCTACATCAACATGTGTCCCCTCTTCTTCATGTCTCTTCTACATCAACATGTGTCCCCTCTTCTTCATGTCTCTTCTACATCAACATGTGTCTCCTCTTCTTCATGTCTCTTCTACATCAACATGTGTCCCCTCTTCTTCATGTCTCTTCTACATCAACATGTGTCCCCTCTTCTTCATGTCTCTTCTACATCAACATGTGTCCCCTCTTCTTCATGTCTCTTCTACATCAACATGTGTCTCCTCTTCTTCATGTCTCTTCTACATCAACATGTGTCCCCTCTTCTTCATGTCTCTTCTTCATCAACATGTGTCCCCTCTTCCTCATGTCTCTTCTACATCAACATGTGTCCCCTCTTCCTCATGTCTCTTCTACATCAACATGTGTCCCCTCTTCCTCATGTCTCTTCTACATCAACATGTGTCCCCTCTTCTTCATGTCTCTTCTACATCAACATGTGTCCCCTCTTCTTCGTGTCTCTTCTACATCAACATGTGTCCCCTCTTCTCCGTGTCTCCTCTACATCAACATGTGTCCCCTCTTCTTCATGTCTCTTCTACATCAACATGTGTCCCCTCTTCTTCATGTCTCTTCTATATCAACATGTGTCCCCTCTTCTTTATGTCACTTCTACATCAACATATGTCCCCTCTTCTTCGTGTCTCTTCTACATCAACATGTGTCCCCTCTTCTTCGTGTCTCTTCTACATCAACATGTGTCCCCTCTTCTTCGTGTCTCTTCTACATAAACATGTGTCCCCTCTTCTTCGTGTCTCTTCTACATCAACATGTGTCCCCTCTTCTTCATGTCTCTTCTATATCAACATGTGTCCCCTCTTCTTTATGTCACTTCTACATCAACATATGTCCCCTCTTCTTCGTGTCTCTTCTACATCAACATGTGTCCCCTCTTCTTCGTGTCTCTTCTACATCAACATGTGTCCCCTCTTCTTCGTGTCTCTTCTACATAAACATGTGTCCCCTCTTCTTCGTGTCTCTTCTACATCAACATGTGTCCCCTTCTTCTTCGTGTCTCTTCTACATCAACATGCGTCCCCTCTTCTTCATGTCTCTTCTACATCAACATGTGTCCCCTCTTCTTCATGTCTCTTCTACATCAACATGTGTCCCCTATTCTTCATGTCTCTTCTACATCAACATGTGTCCCCTCTTCTTCATGTCTCCTCTACATCAACATGTGTCCCCTCTTCTTCGAGTCTCTTCTACATCAACATGTGTCCCCTCTTCTTCATGTCTCTTCTACATCAGCATGCGTCCCCTCTTCTTCATGTCTCTTCTACATCAACATGCGTCCCCTCTTCTTCATGTCTCTTCTACATCAACATGTGTCCCCTCTTCTTCATGTCTCTTCTACATCAACATGTATCCCCTCTTCTTCATGTCTCTTCTACATCAACATGCGTCCCCTCTTCTTCATGTCTCTTCTACATCAACATGTGTCCCCTCTTCTCCGTGTCTCCTCTACATCAACATGTGTCCCCTCTTCTTCGTGTCTCTTCTACATCAACATGTGTCCCCTCTTCTTCATCAACATGTGTCCCCTCTTCTTCGTGTCTCTTCTACATCAACATGTGTCCCCTCTTCTTCATGTCTCTTCTACATCAACATGTGTCCCCTCTTCTTCATGTCTCTTCTACATCAACATGTGTCCCCTCTTCTTCGTGTCTCTTCTACATCAACATGTGTCCCCTCTTCTTCATGTCTCTTCTACATCAACATGTGTCCCCTCTTCTTCATGTCTCTTCTACATCAACATGTGTCCCCTCTTCTTCATGTCTCTTTACATCAACAACATGTGTCCCCTCTTCTTCATGTCTCTTCTACATCAACATGTGTCCCCTCTTCTTCATGTCTCTTCTACATCAACATGTGTCCCCTCTTCTTCGTGTCTCTTCTACATCAACATGTGTCCCCTCTTCTTCACGTCTCTCCTACATCAACACGTGTCCCCTCTTCTTCACGTCTCTTCTACATCAACACGTGTCCCCTCTTCTTCACGTCTCTTCTACATCAACACGTGTCCCCTCTTCTTCACGTCTCTTCTACATCAACACGTGTCCCCTCTTCTTCACGTCTCTTCTACATCAACACGTGTCCCCTCTTCTTCACGTCTCTTATACATCAACACGTGTCTCCTCTTCTTCATGTCTCTTCTACATCAACATGTGTCCCCTCTTCTTCATGTCTCTTCTACATCAACATGTGTCCCCTCTTCTTCATGTCTCTTCTACATCAACCATGTGTCCCCTCTTCTCATGTCTCTTCTACATCAACATGTGTCCCCTCTTCTCCATGTCTCTTCTACATCAACATGTGTCCCCTCTTCTTCATGTCTCTTCTACATCAACATGTGTCCCCTCTTCTTCATGTCTCTTCTACATCAACATGTGTCTCCTCTTCTTCATGTCTCTTCTACATCAACATGTGTCCCCTCTTCTTCATGTCTCTTCTACATCAACATGTGTCCCCTCTTCTTCATGTCTCTTCTACATCAACATGTGTCCCCTCTTCTTCATGTCTCTTCTACATCAACATGTGTCTCCTCTTCTTCATGTCTCTTCTACATCAACATGTGTCCCCTCTTCTTCATGTCTCTTCTTCATCAACATGTGTCCCCTCTTCCTCATGTCTCTTCTACATCAACATGTGTCCCCTCTTCCTCATGTCTCTTCTACATCAACATGTGTCCCCTCTTCCTCATGTCTCTTCTACATCAACATGTGTCCCCTCTCTGGAAAGAGATTCTGAACGTTTTCTCTCTTTTTGATCCATTTATATAAAAACCTGTCTGAAAATGAGCTGATCAGATTTTGGCCACTTTATGATGTCATAACGATGTTTTGTCTTGTGTAACCATTAGCCAATCAGCAACCAAGGTAACCCCCCCCCCCCCCGTATCACCTGGATCTCCTCCTAGAGCACCATTGAGTTCTTTCTAACCAAATCTCTCTCAGAGGGGCGTGGGGAGGGGCTCCTTATTTTCATCTAAAGTAACAGACAGAGAATCAGCACTTTGGAAACAGGGCTGAAACAGAGGGGATTATGGGTAATGCTGCAATGATCTGTTTGGTTTCAGAGACATGTTTTGTACATATCTGAGACCTGTAATATACTGATGAAAAACAGTATAATAGGGGACCTTTAAAATGAACCCTAAAGAATAAAGAAGAGACAGTAGAGAACAACTAGCATAGCTTATTTGGAAAGGAAGAAATATGGCTACCAACAACTTCTGTCATTTCAACGAGGCTATTGGTGCACCAACATTTGCTATCTGTAACACTATCACAGAATGAATGATGGAGTTTTCTCTTTAGATGTGGTCATACTGCTAAATATATCAGAGTCCTGCAGCAGAGGAATCTGTGTGTCAATTATTCTTATAACACCTTTTTAGCCAGTGACCTGTCAGGAACTCAGTGAGACTCGGGACACACCAAGGACACGAGTGGTTCAGATATGTGTGTGTACAACCTCCAAGTATAGCTCATTTTATAAATACCTTTTTAAGTGGGTGGCTCAGCTATCACCTGTTACTTACCTCAGAATAAAACTCTAAAAACAGAGCAGAATATACCACAGCAAAAGAAAAGAAGAGAAGTCTCACCAGCGGACTGTGTGGGAGCGATGCCCTGTCCGGCGTTAGACGGGAGGATCTCCACTGGGGCGGGCGGAGAGCTCCTCTCAACAACCTCTACCAAATCAAAAAACACACAGTTATTTTAAATCCATCCAGTTTATTTTAAATTAAGTCAACATGTGTTTTCCATCAAACATGGTACTTTTTCTACTCAAACAATGAGGCCAAGGTGCAGTCTCAGCAGATGAGTTTTCAGTCTTCAACAGAAGATGTGTTTCTGCTGTCCTGTTCCATCAGCAGCAGTTTTAAGAACAACATGTGATGATAATGACATCAAAAGAGAATGACCAGATTCCTTCAAAGGAATGAGAACCAGAATACTTCACTACCATGCCGAAGGGCGGCGCTGAATATTCTGCATGGTATAACTACATTCTAATATTATAATAAATACAAGTTGAAATCAAGTTGAAATCACCTTCAAACATATTACTTTGTAGGTAGTTATTACTTTGTTATTGCTTATCCTGAAGCAGCTTCACACACACATCTTGAACTTCCCTGCATGCATTCTTAATGGTTCTCTCTTGTTTCTCTCGGTCCAGTTTGCTAATTGATGACAGACATGTTGGATTTTTCTTGTTTGAAAAGTGTGGTACTGTTTTTTTGTTATATCCGTGATGATTAGGTAAACCTATATACTGTATTATATACATAATAATCTATGATCTATATACATTAAACCTATCTTTTTCCAATATTTCAGATTATAAAAATATGGCAGCTCCACCAGTAAAAGAGCTCCACTATTCCAAAAGCATACGTTTAGCTTGAAAAGATCAAAACAAATATATGTCTGCAAATAGGAATAATACATAAATAAAGGAAAATAATAAGGAGTAGCTTCTAATGCCAGTGTAAGCCACAGTACAGGGGATCTTTTAGGATTTCAGACTAATCATCTAAACCCTCAGCAGTCTCAACTGCTTCTCTTCATACTTCAGTTAGCATTTTACCTCACGTTGGCTAAAATGTGTGCTATTGTTAGCATTCTACAATTTCAGCACAACTGGACCTGAGGACAGTTGAGTCAGACAGAGTGCTCTGAGCTCGACTAGCTGTGTGTGAGATGTCCTAAACTGCCTGACACAGCACAAAGTTTAGAGTGTAGTGAAGCAGACACCTGGGTAGGCTGCCTCCATCTTGACAGTGGAAACACCCGGAGACAGCTGGGGCAGGATGGGCTCAACTACTGGCCTATCACTAACAGGAACTAGCAGCTCCTTCAACGACAAGACACAGACAATAAAACCAAATGGACAAGGTCAAACAGAAACACTGTTTTCATTTCTTCAGTCCATTATTCAGCTTTGCACACTGCTTCTGTCATGCATTCCAGGTGCAGTACTATGAAGCAGATTAGCATTTAGCTTGCATGGCAACTGACTGACTGCAGTGCATAAACAGTGAAATAAGAAACAGCTCAGCGAGAAAACCAGAGAACAAATTAGCCACTTGTGCAGAGACTTCAGTCTGAATTGAATTCTCTATCTGTTTTCTGTACTAACGTTAACATAAACACATCGAAGGTTTACACATTGCCAAGTGCTGACCAGCTCAGAGTCATGCAGCAACGTTGCTGACTTCATGCAGAATTCATTATGCAGCTCCTTAGCAGCTGTGATTGTCTGTGAGCATGCAAACTGCATCTACTTTCTTAGAGCTCCAAACCTACCTGCTCTGGTGCAGTTGTTGCTACTGACCACGGAAAAGAAAAACAAAACATTTTTAATCTAAGTTTGTAACATAATATACTGTGTGACGCTATCTTGGGTTGGTGGGTTTCAAGTATCTATCTTTTTCTCCACTGCATACACTGTATGTCAATGATGGTAGGGGAAAGAACAGACTCACCCTACCATCAACACAGACGTTTATTTTTACAGAAAACCTTTCTTAGTGGGTATATGGCACATACATGCATATCAAGTAGACTTTCAACACAGTCTCACGGCATTTCGTGTTATAGTCACGACATTTAATCTATTGATTCGTGTTCACCAACACGATTTCCCCCTTTTCTTCGTGTCCACAGAACGATTTTAAAAGCAATGTATTTCTATTGGTAGTATGTTTCGTGCCTGCAGCACGTCTTTTTGTCCGGTCGGGTCTTGGAAGACCGGAAGCTGTGTGGTTCATAAAAACATGTTCTTACTCAATATCAAGCCACGATTATTGTTTTTATTTTTAATTGTATAATGTCGGACTTTTTTTGGCGTCTTTGAGGAAAAGAAATGGGGCTCAGAGCCTCAGAATACTGAAATCTGTATTTATTCAATATTTGTTCATTCTAATTTGTTATTTACTCAACAATAACACACAATTATCCTCGTTTTTATTTATTTGTTCAATACTAATTCGTCTGACTTTTATATTTGATCCAATTGGTAGATAGGTTATATTTACACCATAACGGTGCACAGCTGATAGAAAAGGACTTGTAGTTTTTAAAGATATTACTGATTTGTTTTGAATATAAGAATGTAAATACTGAGTTGAGAGAATAGTCAGGGGATTTGGGTGATGGGAGACACATCTAATCAGAATGTCAATAGCTTACCATTAAATTATGGATATGCCTTTCTGTCTGTGATGTTTTACAAATCAGATATATGGTAATATGGCTAATGTGTTTATTTATTATTTGTGGGGCAATTTAAATTTGTGTTATTTATCTTTTTTATCAAGATTGAAATGAAGCTCAGCGCAAGTTCTTTCAGGAAGACTGGGTGTATATACATTCACTCCGCAGCTGCATATAATCAGCTCATCACAGCCGTTCTCTTTAACCTATTACATTTCACCTCATTCTCCAGCAGCCAATCAACGTGCTGCAGCCAAACTATAAAATGGTTCTCCTCTCTCCTGCAGTCAGCTGTGGTTTCAGGTGTTCATGCACCTTATCATATGGCATGTGTCAATCAATGTTCAAACTAAATGAAGTCTCTCCTGATTGAAACATCAGGTGTTGAAATAAACAACTGCAGTTCAAAATAAAAAGTGAATTGCCTCATATTCTTGTTGTGGAATCAATTGATTTCTTTCTTTAAAGGCAAAAACATGAAAAAGCTAAGAAAAAAACCTATTGAAAACAATATATTTGGAGCAACTTCATTTATAAATGGTTGTCAACTTAAAAACGTGTGTTCACAATGAGGGTAATTAAGTACATCCAACTTAAAATTCCTTTTAAATCATGCGGTAAAACAAGTTGGAACAACTTAATCTTTTGAGTAATCAACTTCAAAACTTGAGTTTATGCTACCAATTATGAAGTAAGTGGTAATTAAAAACACATCTGATTGTAGAGGAAAAGCCTTCTCCCCTAACTCAAATAACTTTGTTGCTTTAAGACAATTTCATTAGAAGTTGTCTTAACTCAATAAACATTGATGCAAACTGTTGCGTTGATTTTCTTTGTTGAGCCAAGGCATTTGTTTTTAGAGTGTACCATCTATAGTCATTTACTCCCACTGCTTTATTACATGGATTTGTGAATATACCATTATACCAAACTAACTGAAATGCACCAGTAAAGTTCCATGGTAGAGACTCACCTGGTATAAACTCTTCTGGCTTCCCAAAGGCCTCCACTGGTCTCTCTTGGGTGGGCAGGGGCTGAGGAGGAATCTCAATGGGCTCCTGGTTGATGGTGATTGGCTTATTGACAGGCGGATTGGGTAGAACAGTGTAGCCCATCCCACCGGGACAGATGTCTTTGAACTTGGCTATAAAATAAAAAATAAAAGAGAAATAGATGGGGTTTTAAGTACATACAAAAACATGAGATGCAAAATGTTCAGAGTGTGTTTTGCATCCTATCTCAAAAGCAATACAAGACAATCCCATAGAAACAAATCCTGATAGAAAAAGAGACAGCCAGCATCACCATGGAAATATCTGATTGCTGCTGGGAAAAACACAGTTTATTGATAGTAGCTAGTATGGTCTACACACACACACACACACACACACACACACACACACACACACAAACACACACACACACACACACACACACACACACACACACACACACACACACAACACACACACACACACACACACACACACACACACACACACACACACACACACACACACACACACACACACACACACACACACACACACACACACACACACACACAGTGTTTATCAGGATGATTTGCTCTGTCCATCCCTGAAGTGAAAGAGCAGTAAGCAGGCAAAAGAGCCTTTTCCTATCATATCCCCTTCTTATGGAATAACCTCCTCATGGACTGCCGACTGTCCCTCCTCCCCACCAATATCACCCCAACAGGGTCTCTGTATCTTAACAGGAAATGAGGGATGGGTTTCATTCAAAACAAAACGCCCAGTAAGTAACTGTATCTTGTTTATTTAATAGGGTTCCCACGGTATTTATTGCATCATATTACATCATTGTTACACTATACATTCATTCGTTATGATGAAATGTATTTTCTTTAAAACCTCTCTCATGGAATGTATTTTTATCAAAGCCTCCACCTTTATACTGATGATGTTTGTCTGGTTTCAACATCCATCAAAAAACTGCTTCTATTGCCTTAGCAGCAACAAATTATAAAAATAATTCTTCAAAAAAGCACGTCGACCTTTTCTTGCCCAACACTGCTCTGCTACCCTGCGACTGTTGGCCCTCGCAGAGAAACAGAATATTTTACTTGGAATAGCTAATCTGACAAGTACGTCAAACTTTACCCACCTGTTTAACTGTGAGACATATTTCTCTCCAACAACACAAGGTTTTAAAGCAATATGTGCCTGCCACAACAAACTATTTTAAAATACATTGAATTGCACAGATATGTTACCAATTCAATGGAATGCAACTTCTTAAAACTAATATTTTCCCGAAAATGAATTGCCGATAAAAGGAGTGGAAAAAGAATGGCTACTGTGAAAGTCTTTGCTAATGTAACCTAATATTAACTCTAAAAGCAACAACTTTGAAATGTTGTGAAGTCTGAGCCTAAATGTATCAGGAATAATATAATGTGAGAGTGTTCAAATACACATTATATAAACTTCTTTATGAATATTACTTAGATATTTTTTACCTGTCATTTACCATACTAGAATATTGACTTAACATTATGGGAATTTGACCCTTCAGACTTTGAATGTAACATTCTTAAAGTTTAAATCAAGATTGTACATTTGTAAAATAACCATCTAAAACTGTAAATGAACAGTATATAAATGCAACTGAACATTCATAGACTGTATTTCCTTGAATTGCAATTACAAATGATATACGTGTAACTTAACATTCTAGAATTGAAATTACGCTTTCTGTTATTATAACTTAACAATACATAATTGTAACTCAACATCTTAGAATTGTAATTGTATTGTTATTTAAAATAATACAATTGTAACTTGCCAAAGTAGCCAAACATTCTAGAATTACAGTATAAGTCAACCTTCTAGTGTTTTAAATAAACTTAAGATTCTATAATTGTAATGACACACATTAGTATAATAATTCTACATTTGAGAAACAAACTCAACGTCAAGGCATTCAACTGGCTCTTGATTTGTAAACATGCTTTCTTGTTTTATAACATCAAAATATGCTATTGTAACTCAACATTCTACATGTGTAACTTAACATTCTACATGTGTAACTTAACATTATACATGTGTAACTCAACATTCTACATGTGTAACTTAACATTCTACATGTGTAACTTAACATTCTACATGTGTAACTCAACATTCTACATGTGTAACTTAACATTCTACATGTGTAATTCAACATTCTACATGTGTAACTCAACATTCTACATGTGTAACTTAACATTCTACATGTGTAACTCAACATTCTACATGTGTAACTCAACTGTGTAACTCAACATTCTACATGTGTAACTTAACATTCTACATGTGTAACTTAACATTCTACATGTGTAACTCAACATTCTACATGTGTCACTCAACATTCTACATGTGTAACTCAACATTCTACATGTGTAACTTAACATTCTACATGTGTAACTCAACATTCTACATGTATAACTTAACATTCTACATGTGTAACTCAACATTCTACATCATGTGTAACTCAACATTCTACATGTGTAACTCAACATTCTACATGTGTAACTCAACATTCTACATGTGTAACTCAACATTCTATTCTACATGTGTAACTTAACATTCTACATGTGTAACTCAACATTCTACATGTGTAACTCAACATTCTACACGTGTAACTCAACATTCTACATGTATAACTCAACATTCTACACGTGTAACTCAACATTCTACATGTATAACTCAACATTCTACATGTGTAACTCAACATTCTACATGTGTAACTCAACATTCTACACGTGTAACTCAACATTCTACATCATGTGTAACTCAACATTCTACATGTGTAACTCAACATTCTACATGTGTAACTCAACATTCTATTCTACATGTGTAACTTAACATTCTACATGTGTAACTCAACATTCTACACGTGTAACTCAACATTCTACACGTGTAACTCAACATTCTACACGTGCAACTCAACATTCTACACATGTAACTTAACATTCTACACGTGTAACTCAACATTCTACACGTGTAACTCAACATTCTACACGAGTAACTCAACATTCTACATGTGTAACTCAACATTCTACATGTGTAACTCAACATTCTACATGTGTAACTCAACATTCTACATGTGTAACTCAACATTCTACATGTGTAACTCAACATTCTACACGTGTAACTCAACATTCTACATCATGTGTAACTTAACATTCTACATGTGCAACTCAACATTCTACATGTGTAACTTAACATTATACATGTGTAACTCAACATTCTACATGTGTAACTTAACATTCTACATGTGTAACTCAACATTCTACATCATGTGTAACTTAACATTCTACATGTGTAACTCAACATTCTACATGTGTAACTTAACATTCTACATGTGTAACTCAACATTCTACATGTGTAACTTAACATTCTACATGTGTAACTCAACATTCTACATGTGTAACTTAACATTCTACATGTGTAACTCAACATTCTACATCATGTGTAACTTAACATTCTACATGTGTAACTCAACATTCTACATGTGTAACTTAACATTCTACATGTGTAACTCAACATTATACATGTGTAACTCAACATTCTACATGTGTAACTCAACATTCTACATGAGTAACTCAACATTCTACATGTGTAACTCAACATTCTACATGTGTAACTTAACATTCTACATGTGTAACTCAACATTCTACATGTGTAACTTAACATTCTACATGTGTAACTCAACATTCTACATGTGTAACTTAACATTCTACATGTGTAACTCAACATTCTAGTATTGTAATTACACATTCTAGTTATATAACTCAATATTCTAAAATGTAAACTTGCTAAAGTAGAATTCCAGAATTGTAACTCAACATTCTAGAATTGTAACTGAACTTTTTTAGAACTCTGACTTAAGAAGCTAAACTTGTTAACCACACATTGTAGTTTTATATCTAAACATTGTAGAATGTTACCATAACTTTCTATCATTTCAACAGTAACTTAACATTCTAGGATTGTACTTTAACGTTCTAGTAATATGATTAAACATTCTTGAATTGTAACTCAACAGTGAAGGCATTACACTTGACATTCTTGTTTTGTAACTTTCCTTTCTTAACCCTCATATGCACGAGTGACTGGACCTACTCTCTTCCATAAGTGGCTCAAAAAGGACCCGTATTAGAATAATATGTGTTTGTATGCCATAGTTGTCATTTTGGTTAAGAAAAATCACTTGTATAATATTTAGTATTATATTTTGGTTCACACTAGAAATATTTTATATTTAACTTTTCACTATTTATCATTTTAGAAACACATTTTACATTTTGAAAAAAAACGAAATTCCATAGAAAATGCATGCGGGTCATTTTTGCCCCACTTATGGAAGCTTGGGGTAGTAATACAAAAACTACAATTTCTTAAAATGTATAAAATGTCAATTTAAAATTTGAATGGCATGATATCCAAAACATGTTTTCTGAGGAATAGCTGGAATATGAAATGATAAAAAAAATTAATCACAAAGATACTTCAAGAATACCACCTCACCGGGTCAAAAAAGACCCACTTATGCATCTAAGGGTTAAATGACTCAACAATATTTGATTGTAACTTAAGAGTATAGAGTATATAACATTGAGTCTACTACAGAGTATAGAACATCACCATTCTATAACGGTACTTTAACATTCTATCAATGAAACTTGAGATTCTAGATTGTAATTTCACATTCTAGTTACTGTATATACATGTAACTTAACATTCTAGGATTGCAATTCAACTTTCTAGAACTAATTTGAAATTCTATAAATTCATTTTGACATTCTAAAAATGAAGAGCGGAGGCTAAATAAAAAAAATAAAAAGACAAAAACATATTTTGCATAAAGAGAAGTCTGAGTGTCATTCTTTGCTCTTCTCTCAGGAAAAAATAAATCTCTAAATCTGATATAGCAGACGCTATTAAAACATCTGTGCTAACTATTTCAGGATTCACCATTGTTGTTTCTAATGATCATAATACTCTTGCCTCTATGTATCATTGCCCACACCTAAAGCACGCCTGTAGCTGCTGGTAGATCCACATAGGGCTGGAGGACACTGAGGAGTCTGGTCACAGGAAGCAATACATAAACTGATAAGATAGTTTTTTTTACCCACCCCTAGGAATCACCAAAAATGTTTATACTCTGTCACTCTGCTTGTGTGGCCTGTTAACTTGCAGGACACCGGCCCACTGGGCAGAGTCACCCGACCCTACAGTATGTGTTTCAATGACTTACAAACCTTTGCTGATTTGCCAAATGACAACATGTAATGGTGGTAGGCATTATCTTTCTTCATACTTAATGAAGTGTTCCCATTGAGACAGAATAAATGTCCGATGTTGGAGGGGGCCTTACCTGTTCCTGGAGGGGGGCATTTGTCACAGCGAGGGCCCCAGGCTTTGCCCACACTGCAGCAACATAGCTGTTTGCTCAGCTGGGTGGACACTGGGTGCAAACACTGCCTCCCTGAGCTGACCAAGCGGAAGCAAGCCCCCTTTTCCTCTGGGATGGCAGGGGTGTTGGCTAAATAGGAGCGCAGGGGGTAGGAATCGGTGCACCAGAGTTTAGAAGAAACATACATGGGGAAAAGAAAGAACAGAGAGTAGAGAAATAAAGAAGTTCCCTTCACCAAAGCAACTTTTCCAACTGCTATGACAAACATATTTCTAAAACAACACCAGTGCATAGAGAACAACTAAAATATCACAGTTAAGAGTCAGGAAGTCTAATTTTGTGATGGCACAAAAAACTATATTCTAAACAATTACAGCCAACAGAACACAGCATCTCATTCAAATAGCAAACTAAATGTTAATGCTTCATGCACTATCTAGGTCATGCGCTGGCTCAGATGAAGGCATGCAGGAAAGGTTGGCTCAGTTTGTGTCTTCAAAGTCTTATGGTGTACTTGATGAGATGTTGGTGAGTGAGCTAGAGTTTGTAAAGTAATAGATAGTATCATGAAGTCTATTCTATAGTTTAGGGATGAAGGATGAAAGGATAGGTGTGCTGGGGGGTAGTCTGGCTGCAGGAGGAAATGCAGGGGAACAGTGCTGCGTAGCTGAGACGGAAGAGAAAAGCATTGCAATATTCTAGATTGAGCGCATGAATAAGTCATTCAAAACCGCTTTTAGTATTGATTTGATTTTCGTGATGTTGCAGAGAAAAGCAGAGCTTGTTTATGTGAGCACCAAAGTTTAAGTTCTGGTCAAAGATAATACCCAGTTTTTGTGTGAAAGGTTTAACATTGGGGGCCAGAGTGTCGATGTAGGATTTTATCTTGAAGACAAACTAATCTGGACCAATGAGAAGGACCTCAGTATTGACTGAATTTGGATGAAGGAGTGATATCCATTTTTTGATAGTAGCCGGGCAGTCATGGACAGTGCTACATTTACCCATGATTATTAGCTTAAGGGACAAGTAAATATATGTATCGTCAGCATAAAAGGGATGACAGATGCGGATGAATTGTTTAAGTATAGGGAGAAAGGTATGAGTCCAGGGATTGAACCCTTTGGAATAGCGCAGAGTAAAGGGGAAGATGAAGACACAAAACTGTCTATGGCAACCTCAAACTGCTTATTTGATAGAAAAGAGGACAAACAATTGAGAGCAGAGACCGAGAAACCATCCCAATTGGTTGAGATGTTCAACCAAAAGAAACCTGATCACAAGTTTGCAAATTTCAACCAAAAATCATGGTGCGTTTAGACACGTTGAGAATGATCGTGTAATGTTATCCGACCAAACGGCTGTTTCATCTTGTGATATTTGCAAAAATTCTTATTGATTTGAAAAAAAATCCTTTATCAATTGCTTATAAATGCTTAGAGGGAAACGTGTCTCACATGTACACCCGTCCCACAGTGACTGAAATAGGACAATACCACTTAGAACAACGTTTTAAAATAACAATAGTGAATATATTGTTGAGGATGAAGAAAATGGATGGAAAATAAACCTAAATGTGAACCATGATAAAAAACCCACCCCCCCTTGTATACTTTATCTCCATTAACAGAAACAAACACACATGAATTCTCCAAAAATGGAAACCCCCAGCATTGGAGTCAGGAAATTAAACAGTCACCTATACCACTAATGGTAAAAACTGTTAACCAACACAAAAGTGACATAAGTCAGTGATTTGTAAACAGACATTGCAAACACAAATTTACAAAAACAAACGCTAGCAACAAGTAATGTTTGCATTTTGGTACAGGCCCTACAGTATGTGTCTTAATCTCCAGCGGACTGTATAGAAGTTGCTCATTATGCCAGATCTTTGCTCAAATGTACATACTACCTGACTTACAAGGGGACGAAAAACTAGATGAATTCTCCATGCAAAAAATGGTTGGTCATTTTCAATTGTGATATATAATTTGTAATAGATACGTTATTATCTAATGGAGGCAGGCTGTTTCACAGTTCAATAATAGATAGTATTGTCCAATATGACAGCGGTGCACTGATACTGTATATACATATAGTCTTATTTAGTTAGATTAACTCCTTAACATCGCTATCGGCCTCAGACTTTGAAACTCAGGTTGGCTGGGCTCATTAATAACCGACAGCCCATTTCGATCATGTTCAAGATTGATTACTCTGGCACAAGTGTGTGAGTAGTTTCTTCTTCTAACTGTATCTTCACTGTCCCAGATATCTCTTCCTCTCCCTGCTCCTATACACTTAAAGCCATGAGATTTGTAGGGTTTGACGACATGTTTGCCTTGCAGTTCATGCATGAAGTGGAATCTTTTTATATAGTGAAGACCATGCTTTAATCCATGCACTGTTTTCATATGCACATCATTAAAGACACAGTTCAGCTTCAGCAGCATTCCTGCCAGTATTTTGAAGCAGGAGGCAGAGGTAAATATTCAAACATATTTTCCACCTGTCTTCTCTCCTTAAGTGATGGTAAATATCAAACCAGTTTCAGAAGGTTTTTGGTTAAACACATCTACAGACCAGCATGCACATGTAATGCATTCATTCCTGTAAATATTTCTGCTCAGTTTGGCACTCAATGGATGGAGGTTCTGGTTTGGATGTAAATAAATCACATAGTGATGTGAGGAATACATCTTAGACAAAGTTAGATTTTGTATGACTTACATATGCAAGTGGTGAGCGTGGAGTCGGGGACGAAGCCTGGTTTGCACGTGCACCTGTAGCTCCCCACAGCATTCAGACAGTTTCCATTGGGACACACACCCTGCAGCTGGCACTCGTCTACATCTGTGGATCAACAGAACATGTAAAGTCTGATTAATACAGCATAGGAAAGAATTTAGAAGTGTGCAATCTTTTTAGTTTCCCATCTTGCAATCAAATCAAATCAAATCAGGTTTTATTTATATAGTGCATTTTAAAAACGATTTTTGGTCGAGCAAAAGTGCTGTACATGCAAATAATAAATAACACATTACTACAGTCGCAAACAGAAGACAATAAATTACAACATCAAATCACATCAAAAAATCAAACACAGGGAAATGTCATGAGTCGTGCTCCGCTCTGACTAGAAGGCCAGGGAGAAGAAGTGAGTCCTCCTCAGTGTAGATTTAAAAACCCCTAGGGTCTGGGCCGACCTCACATGGAGGGGCAGAGTGTTCCAGAGCCTAGGGCCAGCCGCTGCGAAGGCTCGGTGCCCTCGGGTTTTGAGCCTGGTCTTGGGCACTAGCAGCAGCAGCTGGTCAGCCGACCTTAAGGCTCTGGCTGGGGTGTAGCATCTTGCAATGTTACTTCTTCACCATCAGTTTCTACTTTCTCAATTATTTTACCAAGATTTACGCAAGAATCAGGCACATATCCTAGGATTGAATTTCACTGAATTTGTTCTCAATGCATACGCATGTTTACATTTGTAATCCTTTCATTGTCCGTCAGCAACATAATGTTGTTTATATGTGTAAGCGTGTGAGTGTGTGTGCGCAATGCCAAAAGGATAAACAACTGGTGAAGAACTCAATACAATATATTCTTCTTCTTCTATACACTTAAGACATAAGGAAATCATTTCAAAGAGAGTTGAGTGAGTGAAGAAAACTAACACAAAGACCACTTAGAAGTTTTTTTTTACTGAAGTCAAAGTAAAAAAATGATTATATATATGTGTGATATGCTCAAAGATATACCGTATGTGTTAAAGGGACAGTGTGTGTAGTGTTGCTGTTGCAGATTGGAACACACTGAGTACCCCTCCGCTCAGCCTTCCCTTTACAAACCGTTGAACCGCAGTACTACCCTTCAGGAGCTTCACCTCACACAGAGGCCATCTTTACCATATCACTATTTTAGAAGCAATGAAAAACAGGTGTATGCTCACTGGCATTACTTCAGTTAACAGGCCGGTCGAGTGGCATCAGGAAATGTTCAAATGCCAAAGGCCCTCTCTAGAGCTGGAGCTTGGTTTGTCCATTCTGAGCAGTGCAACATATCAAACTCAGTGGAAGAGGATCCTCTTACTAAGTGCATTTAAATGGCTCATTCTGAGGTAGCAAACACTTGTATATGTGCAGCTTAAATGAAAACACAGCAATGCATGCATTTGAACATTGCTGGAATATGCTTAAAAAGCAAAAAGAAATAACATAAATATGCAGACTGAGATTTAAGATTGTATTTACATGTTTGGTCTGCAAGCATATGGTCATAGTTAGAAGACAAAAAGCAGAACACTAAAAGTAAAAGTGGTTGGAAAATGTCAATAATCAATGTCAATAACGCACGCACGCACTCTCTCTTGCTTCCAGCCACAGAGCTGGCACACACCAGGGATACCATTGCAATGTGCCACCATTACTAGCGGTAGCATTGAATTCAACGCCCACTATTGGTGCTATAAAGAACCACAAATTATTGTGGGAAACGACTTTCCGGATGGAAAAGACCAAAATTGCTTGTTTACAACAGCCATATGCCCAAATGAACTCTGCAAACAGCTTTTGTCTGCTGTAAACATTCCTCCTATTTATACGTGATGGGGAACTCATTCACAGTCAGTTCTGTTTGAAAAGGCTGGTTCAACTTAAGCTAATGTGAAGCCTCATCATCAAATAAGGATAGTATCTTCTAAATTACATTTTATTTAAAACAACATTTTCTATACAGGGATGTCTGATATAGAATATAGCTCTTACAACTGAAAATATCTAGACATTTCCATGGATCAATCTAATCTCATTTAATCAAAGGATTTATATTTATATATAATTTAGAGCTCCTTTTTGGTGCTTTCTTCTAGGAGAGTTGGTGTCATGAGCTGTTTCTGGTCTTATTAACTCTCCTGTCCTTTCAGATCCTGCCCCCCTCCAGTCTCTTGCCATCAGCTCGCCCCCTCCCCTGCCACTCATTCCCTCATTAACCCCACAGTATACTGTATATATCACTCCACTCTCACTTGTTCCCTGCCAGATTGTCTTGCTTGTACTACCAAGCCAAGTTGTAAGTGACTGTGATTTATTTATTATAAGGTGTGTGTTCTGCCAAGCTCTCCAGTGTCTTGTTGGCAATGAACCTATTTACTGGTATACACTGTATGCTCTGCCCAATTTTGACCCTGTGCCCACATTATTCTGCATCCTTATAGGATTTGTCTGCCTGATTGATAAGAAACCTGAAAGAAAAGCTCTTACCTTGGCAATGGGAGCTGTTGATTCTCCTGTAACCGTGAGGACAATCTATCAGAGGAATAGCTGAGGAGAGGAACACAGAAACAAGAGGAAGCAACATGTCAGTCACTGCATTCAGACATTTAATGAACTGATTCAATACATCTGGGTGTCATCTGCATAGATATGATAACTTAGGTCGTTGTTTTTCATAATTTGGGCCAGTGGTAGCATATAGATATTAAAAAGCAGAGGTCCTAAGATGGAGCCTTGAGGAACCCCGCATGTCATATTTGTCAACACTGATGTGTAGTTGCCTAGAGACAAAGTGTTTTCTGTCCTTTAAGTAGGAATCAAACCAATTTAGAACTGTTTCCTAAAGTCCCACCCAGTTTTCCAGTCGGTCTAGTAATATGCTGTGGTCAACAGTGTCAAACGCAGCGCTGAGATCTAATAATACTAACACTGAAGTTCTGCCACTGTCTGTGTTTAAGTGGATGTCATTGAAGACCTTTACAAGAGCAGTCTCAGTGCTGTGGTTTGGACGAAAGCCTGACTGGAACACATCGAAACAGACATTTAAAAGCATGAAATGACTCAGCTGTTGAAAAACTACTTTTTCAATGATTTTACCTAGAAATGGGAGGTTTGATATGGGCCTGTAATTGTTCATTACTGAAGCATCTAGATTATTATTTTTTAAGAGCGGTTTAATGACTGCAGTTTTCAGGGCCTGTGGAAAAATACCTGAGTGAAGAGATTTGTTTACTATATGAAGTAGATCTGAGGCCATGCAAGGCAAAACAGTTTTGAAAAATCCTGTTGGAATAATATTGAGGCTGCAGGAGGAGGATTTCAGGCAGTGATGAATAAAGAGTAATGAGATATATGGTACACTAAACGCCTGCTACTAGTACCCAGACATAGCAAATGCATTGTTTGATGTGATGTGTAACCATTGATTAAGGTTTAAACGTAACATATATTACGTAAAACATACAAGGATTGACTAAAACCAGAAATGGGTGATGAAGATACATTGTGACATGTTTATTATGGTAAGAAAGTAGTCTATGTTGGTTTTCCAAACACAGTGTAAATCTGTTGAACTATGATGACTAGATGCTCTTTATCTAGGATCCGGAGATGGATTGCTTCTGCCTCCACCCACACAGTTTGGGATTAGCGGCACTTTCCTCACTTCAGTAATGTTGTCGCTAGGGAAACATCACTTTCCCTCTGGTGATTATATACTGTTTTATCAGGGGCGTACAGGGAGTTAGGCTGGAGCTGAAAGCTGCTCTGACATCAGCAGCTCCCAGCAGAGCGCAGACTGAGAAGTCAAATTAATCTGCAGGTTACAGGCTGGGCACTGCTATACAAAGGCACCAGTGGGGACGTGGTACCCAAATACCTGAAAGCAGATTGATATTTTGCTCAACAGGAAACAACAAGGCGATGTTTGTTAGACCAATAAAGCCAATTTATTTACCAGCTACCAATGTCTCCATGGCACAATGGACTGTTTCACACGTCACTGTCCAGTGGAAAGAAACTCCTTCCATTCCTCAGGAGAACAGAGGGAAGGACAAATACCTGGCTCTGCGGTGACTCCCACTGAAATGTGTGATTAGTGCGGCTGAAATCCTCTCGTGGTGTGAGGCATGTGAGAGCTGGTATGAGTGATTAACAGGGTTTGCCATATTATAAATGCACATTATGACAAAGTGTGAACTTGCCGTGAACCTAAACATATCTGAGTTGAGAGAATGTTGTATTGTATTGTTTATGTCAGGAATTTACATCACAAAAAGCGCACAGACCCCCAAAACATAATCTCTGTCCCTCTCTGTGTGTAACTGCTGGATTATTAGTGTAAATCGCTACTAATATACAACCTGAGGGAGAGCCTGTATTACACCTGGATGTTTAAAGTTTGAAAAAAGAGAGGATAGGAAGGGAGAAAATATGCATGATTGAGTGGCATTATAGGAAATGTACTGATGTCACCATCTGATAAAGTACCCAAGATTTCATTAGATAAGGTTTAAGCTGCAACTGCTGTTTCTATGGAGACAAGGCCAGTGAGAAGCTTCAAGTTTTATGGCCGTACCAAATTCAAAAACATTTCTCATTGCAACCATAAGGTCCGGATGAAGAAATCATCTCAAACTGACCAAGAATCTCTTCCAATCATGAGTTGTGTTAACTTTTCTCCTCATTACTTCCTCCGTTGAATTTGAACTTCTTGTGTTTTTCTGCATTTACTTCTGAAAACCATGAAAGCCCAAAATAACTCCATAAGTCCATATAAGGATATCATGACATTAACATATGGCAATACTTTTGAAGGCAAAGCAATGTCTCTATTTTGGTTCATAAACTGTTTTATTAGCCTCTCCTCAGTTGAAAAAGAAGGACTGTACTCAAGCTCTTACATTTCAGCTAATACAGCAGCAACATGTCTTTTCCTACATTCAATTGATATTTATATTCAAAAAGAGGGACCCGTAAAGGTGTATGAGTGAATAGCCATCTACTCATCACTTCAGGCGTGTGTGTTTGTGTGTGTTGTGTGGGGGTGTGATTGCCATAAAGGCACTTCATGCGTTTTCACACCTGTCTCTCGATACCTATTCAGGGGGGTAATATAGTGTTTCCTGATTTGCTCAGCACCTTTACTTTGCCCGTTGCTATATGTAGCAAAATAAGCTCAGGGAGGGTGAGCCTCTCCAAGTTTAGCTTGTCTTTAACGATTTTCTGAAAACATAAATTCCTTTTCTTTAGCTGAGGACCGTCCTGAGCCCTGAGGCTGTTTTCTGAACTTCAGATCACCGTTCCCTCGAAAGAAACCGCCTTCAGTAAGTGAAGATCAAATTCTGATGTCCGCCAAACACATTGTGAGGGAGAGAATGGAAGAGAAGGCTGCTCAGAAAGCTGATACAGACCTGTTCTCTGTACCACAGGGGTTGAAGATTTTGTGTCCACTTTAGAAACAGGCAAACGTAGCTATCATAACGTCACGGTTTATGTTTAGTGTTTTTAGGATAAAAGAAGTGTCCCAAAGTATGAAGTCAGCATCTACTGTCGAAACCAGGTGTCTGCAGCTTGGGGTTAAATCATCATGTGTTGGTGTTATAACTGAAAAGGTATTCCTGTTGGCAGGTCTTTTATTGAGCAATATTATGAAGATTAATGTTATGGTGTTAAAAGTGTGCTTCCCTCAGAGTTATATTTATCCACAGAAGTTAAATGGGCCTATATTTTCAAATATTATTATACAATTAACACACAAAATTAAGGTATTTTATTTCTCAGACACACTCCTCAATAATTACACTTTATCTTGGATTGTGAGAGTAGGATTTAGCAGAGGTCTTTCCGAATAGTTGCTATCAAGCTGTTGAGATGATGTGGGTTAAGGTTCATGTTGAACTTCACTGGTGTAAAAACAGCTTACTAAGATTCACACATAGCTCTAAATGTTTAGAGGTGTGCAGAGAATTCTAATGGACATGGATTAATTAGCTTTCCAAATAGCTTGACCAACGTCTAAGAGAAACAGCTGTACTCACATGGTTGCTTTGGACACTTCTGGCACTTGTGGAATCCCCAGGACGTCCCGATAGTCTGGCAGCACTGCTCCTGCTTAGTGAGGCCTGGCAGAGCCTTCCCACACTGAAACACACAGACGTACACAGTGAGATAAAGGAATGGAAAAGGAATTATTATTTTTGATAAAAAGTCTGTTTCTGATCCCAAGGACAGTCAGATAAACACACTGACAGTCTGTTATCTTTATGGAACAACTGCTCTGTGAAATGTGACCTGGTGATGAAGTCACTCAGGATTTATGATCACTTAAACTTGACATTGGGTGTTTTGACAGTAAAATAATAAATCTGCTCTTCATCTCCAGGCCCTGACATGCTGACAGTGTACCTGACTGCCTGCTGTTTCCTGGAAGCAGCGCCCCAGAGTGTTCTTGGAGGTGACGGGCTGGTACTGGGGGACCTGGTATACGTGCTGGCTGGGGTACACAATGTTGTAGCCGTGGTGCTGGATGTTTTGGCTGCTCTCCGTGTGGCGGTAGGTGTAGCTGGAGGAGGAGCTGGAGTGGGACCCCTTCAGAGGCTGCCCGTTGTTGTGGTAGTTATCCAGCTGAGACACCTGGTGCACCTGGACCGAGGCCTCTGGGGGGTGTTTGATGTGGATGTTCACGATGCTGGGATTGAACACTGGAGGCAGATGGGACAATTATTGCAGTGCATTGTCTCATTATGAAGCTCAATGTCTGTCTGTCCATAGGTGGACTACATCTGATCTACTTCAGACTAGGCCGGAGTATTGCTGTAGAACCAAGGGCATGCAACGTCAAGGTTTGTTCAATTTGGAAAAGCAAAATTCAATATTAATTAACTTTGAATAAAAACGGATTGTGTGTTTCTGATTAAAAGTTGTAATAATTCAATGTTAAACGACACACAGTAAACAAGTTGCTTTCAGATTTGGACTGTGTTGTTAAAGATTGAGGCATTATCAGCACCTTAAACCTTAGTAAAATACTCGATTCCGATTGGTCAATTTGTGATGGCCAACCGTCCCCAGTATAGAAACGGTAAAGGTAAAAAAATGAAGGACAGAGGTTAACAGTCACAGAGAGCTGTGACAAATTCAAATCAGCAGAAGAAGTCAGACCGTTAACACCAAAGGGAACACAGTATGGGCTCTGGCAGGGTTTAAAGTTTGGTTGATAGAAAATAAACTGTGAAAAGACTTGGACAGTTAAAATAGCATTTAAAACCAGATTGAAGCCTTCAGATTAAAAGAACTATAGCAGAGGAAACAGGGTTAAACATATATATGTTTACTACAGTGTGTTGGGTTGTGGACCGAACAGTTTTGGAGCTACTATCTATAATAGTTAAGTCACATCAGTTTGATCCATTAGATGTCACTGTGATCTAAAGGCTGCAGTGTGGGCAGTCTCTCTCGCTGCATCTCGTCTTTTCTGTGTTTATCCTTGCATGCCCAGCTACATGCAGCTGAACTGGGTTCATTCAGAAAAAAAGTGTTTGCTTTCACACTTAATGGAGCTGAAATACTATTTCACTGGACTGCTCTTTAAACACCAACAATGATGAACAACACAATGTGTGGTCCATTTACAGGGATTGTGTAGATCCTGCAAAAGCACTACTTTTAGTTCATTTCTTACAGTAAGATTTAAAAAGCTTGAGCTAACACTGTACTGCGAGACTATCACAATAACTAACACACACTGACTGAGGTAATGCCATCAATGATTTAACAGAAAGAGGTCATTTGAATGGTTGATTTTCATATGTATTTAGTCTGCCTGTATTTGTTATCATTGGCCAGTGAGCAGATATATTGTTTGTGACTCACTATAAACACCATGCTGGTGTTTATACATGTTGAAGGCCATTGAATACAAAAATATTTGATAACACAGTGATAACGTTTTATATAAAGTTATATACAAAAACATTTGGCTATATTAAATATTCTTTGTTGCATTTGTAAACTTATAGATAGACGATAAAGAAAAATGTTGATAGGTTATTGTTATTTGTACCTGTTATAAGAAGCAGGAAATCCTGGGTGCTTGTTTAGGAAATGTCTTTTGAAATTACATTTTTCATGGTTTACTAATTTCTCACAATATATCAAGCATACAAGTAAGCCAACATTGATGGCAGTAACATCAAAGGGATCTGGACGCGCATTAAACTCTATATCATTTGTGACTCCTTTTGTTTGGATGTTTTGTCCCAGCATCAGAGAGCCATTGCAGTGTGGCAGAGCCCCCCCCCTGCAGCAGCATCTCAGCTGCTCCGTGGACTCACCAGGGTTCTGTCCGTTGCTGTAGGTCAGCGGCAGGGTGTGTGTGGAGTGGACCTGGGTCTGGCTGTACCCCCCCGCCGGCTGCTGCTGGCCGCTCCGAGCGGGCATCTGGCAGAACTTCCCGGTGAAGTTGGGGGGGCACTGACACTTGTCCCTGGTGCTGCACTTCCCCCCATTCATACAGGGCAGGTGACACACAACTGAGAAGAGAATAAAGAACGAGAAGTAGATGAAGTGATGCACTCATGGTCCCAGATAATACAAAACAAAAAAGTACGTTCCATTATAAACACATCTGTGAGCCTAGAGCTGGAATAAATGATTATTACAACCGACACACACACAGAACAGTCAGAGGGATAAACCAAGCACTACAGCGGTATGGCTCTGAGACGCCAGAGGGAAGAGAGGATACAGTGAAGTCACTGTTCTGCAGCCAAAAGGCGTTACCAAGGCGCAAATGAGGTGATGATACACATGCTGTGTATGTACCAAATTCTGTTCAATGTGGTATTGTTCCATAAGATTGGTGCAACAGTTGCATGTGGACAAAACAGGTGGGAGACACTAACAAACCTTTCCAAGTACTGCTTCATTTCCTGTTATAAAAACTAGATCTCAGACAAAAAGAGATACAGGTTCATTTTCTCCCAGGCCTCGCTGAGTCATTCCCCCTCTTTTCATCGTTTCTTTCCAAAGAAAATCAGACCTCACAAAGTTAGGACAGGAAAGGGACCGGCAGCCATTACTCACATCAATACAATCATCACAGGTTACCATGTCATTACATTATTGGATTGCTGCTCAAACCCCCCACCAATAATTCATCATCATGGGGCATATCCTACACTAAAACAGCAAATGTATATAATTGTTCAGAAACCCTGACTTATAGTATAGTATAGCTCCATTAGGGATTTAGGTCTGTATGAATTGAGGTTTTTTTTTATTTTTTTAAATATATATTTAATATATTGGTACAGGGCAAAACGGAATTTCGGTCAACTTGTTTGTAACACAATCAGAGATTTTGACAATAAAGTTGACTTTGAAAACATTCTGTATCATCATAAAGAACCGGCAAAACTCCCTGATGGCAGTGGAGTCAATAAAGACGTGTGTGCACACTAGAACTTTATGAAAATCAGAGTGAACCAGCCTTCCTTCTTTACACTCAGCAAAGAAGACAGACCACCCACTGTCAATGTTCAGACCCTGCAGTACATGAAGACGCTGGTGCATACAGTACTGGCTCAGTCCCACACTATATACAGCACATGGTGAAAATATACCCCCCCACACCTGTCCAAGAAACACTGCTATTCCCAATTGGCTTTCTACTCCCTCACTACAAAGACTAATGCAAAAACGTCATAACTGTTTGCTGTCCAGACCATCAGGACAGCAGAAGCTAATTTCCCCTTGCAGACTGAAAGCTCATCTGTTCAGTCTGCACATTCGCTATAAAAAAAAGACATGAATTAAGTATATAAAAAAACTCGTATTTTTCAGTTCCTGCCCTTGTTGTGTTGTAGCTGCATCAAAATATGCTGCATACATGCAGGAGTCATTATATACATGACGCTATCTTCCAAAATCTATATTTTATCATCTAATCATAAATGATTTGATAGTGTCTGGACTGCAAGAATGAGCTGGCAGTTCCAGGCGTCTTTAATAAAGGAAGAAGGAGTTGAGTTGCCAGAGAGCTCTCAGCCCAGCAGCCGGTGTGTGCACCTGGGAGAGGAGCTGGAAAAACACCACTTAAATCCTGCCTCCATGGACAAAGAGGAAACACATTCAGCAGGCTGAATCAGAAAGATTTCAAAAATAATCCTTATAAGTGGTATGAAGTAGGGATCGACCGATATGGCTTTTTCAAGGCCGATACCGATACCGATTATTAGTAATCAAGGAGACCGATAACCGATATTTGGAATATAATATATATATATATAATCAGAAAATCTTGGTGTCAAAATGTAGAATAACACAACTTCTATGAAATGCCTTTTTATGTTTAATGAACTTTTCAACATCTTAAAACTGGTTTCCTCTCTGTGACCCTGAGTAAAGTAAATGAAGTAAACATTACATAAAAACTACTAAAACTTGTTCTGAACTTCTGATATTTGAGTCTCACTCATTTAGTAGTCCCAATTCAGAAGCACCAGATTGTGGTGCAGAAAGCAGAATTGCTGCGAGGCTCCACTAGCAGCCGTCACAGTCCCAGTCGTCCCAGCGCGTCACAGTTTCTCCGCTGCGAGACGCTCCCGATTTCATTGCCCTCTCCCGGTTTCCTCCCGGGGTCATATTTCTCCCGCATTTCTCCTGATTTCTGACAAAATCAGATTTACTCACGACTGTTTTCACTCTGACTTTAATACAGCTACACCATTGTTTGGTTTTCCATGGTAGCGCGTCTCTTTAGCAGCGCGCGCAACTCAAAGTCTGAGAGGGTGAGGAGTCACAGAAAACTGAACAAGAATCGACAACTCGACCCTCTGCTCACTCCTTTCCTGTAAAACACAGGTCCAGCCCACACATATGCTCCATGGTGCTACAGACATTGCCCTTACAACTACAATAAGCATGTAAATGTTAATCTACAGCTCCGGCGATCCACTAGCACCGGAGTCTCCACCTGCAGACGCAGCCATCCTCGACAACTACTGTAGCGTCACCTTGGATACGATTCCAAACAACTCACAGACACACAGGGCGCTGACAGGGCGCCCTATGACCATCAGATCTGACGACGCTGATTGGCTGAAATAGTTTAGGGCTCCTTTCTTAGAGCCCAGACGAGAGAGGGTAATGATACACGCTGCGGCCAGGCAGGAAACATGTGATTTATCAGTAACTTTAGACATCCTAACACAATTTTATTGTAGATTATACATTTTACTGATACCAACTATATAATATTTACCTTGTTCATTAAAAAGAAAAAGAAAAAGAATAGGCCTATATATTTTTTAAATATATTTTTTAATTTATTTTTAATTTTTAATGACAATCAAACATGTGGGAAGAGGGGGGGGCGGCGCCCCTAGCGCCCCTATGGGCCGGCCGCCACTGAATTTCAGCATAGGGGATTGGGATGTTTATTGAACTTCGGCTTTCAACTGATTTACCTTTCGAAACACCGCTCACTGCTGCTGCTTGCCTCTGTCTGTGTCTGCGTTATTCGCACCTGCCTGTAATCTGAGAAGGTCCCGCCTCTCTGGCTGGCTGCAGCCCGGAAAATCTTCAGTGTTGATTGACACTTCAGTAATAGCCTATCAGATAGCGCTGTGGGCGGGACATTGCTCGTGAACAGTGGTGACTGCAGCCAGAGAAACGGCCGCATCAGAGACAAAGTTGTATCGGCAATTTGATTAAAAAAAGGCCGATACCGATAATCTTTAAAATGCGGAATATCGGCCTCGATAATCGGCCAGGCCGATAATCGGTCGACCCCTAGTATGAAGTCATTCCCCAAATAGTTTCTGCCATCACCAAACTATCATCAATTGGCCAATTCATTTCCTGTCTTGAACTGGCCAAATCAACAGTGAAAAACAGGTCAACACCTTTTTTCTTCTGTGGTCAGGGAAAACACCTGATTGTCAAAGACAGTGCGTAGAGAAAGTTTAAATGTACTCTGGGATTGTAAGCACTTGTCTCAGGATGATGGCCCAGAAATACTCTTTAACATAGTTTAGTTGCAGATCATCCAATATTTGCACACTGACAGTAATAAAGTTGCTACTAAAGCAACAGTCATTACAGATGGACTTTGATTTTTAAATGTTGAAACTTTACCCTCCTGTTCCCAGCTGTTGTTTGGACATGGCTAATATACAGCTCCTCAAAACCATGTGCTTGTCAGTTCTAACACTTTAAATATCACATTTATAAACAATTATTGGCAAATAAATCACTTATTCCAAAGAATGAGTATAAAACAAGACTAAAGGTCAAACATGCTCTGAGCTAGATGCTACCACCTGCATTAACACAATGACAATGCTTACATGCTGACATTAAACAACAGCATTAGGCCGATCACACATGTGTGAGTGCAGTAGAGTGGCAATTGGGATATGCTCCTGCTGGTGGGGATGCTTGGGTTTGGCCCAACTTTTTTCAAAAGGACAGATGGTGTCACAACCTTTAGCATTTTACCGTACACTAAAACATGTTTCTGAAAAACAATGGAGCTAAAAAATAAACTGCAAGCACTAACATAAAACGTCTTCAGACAAGTAATTCTGTATGTTAATTAACAATATAACAATGTGCCAAGAATAATATATTGAATGGATAAAGTGGGTGGTAAATGCATGCAGGTATATCTACTGTATATACAGAATATACAGATTGTAGGGTTTGTAAAGCGATTGAAAGTGCAGTCAAGCAGGAAGTAAGTGAAATAAGAGTTAGCGCAGCTTCAGGTTGTTATGACAGCATCAGAGGAGCAGCTGCTCTTTATGCACACCCATCAAGTCTAGTCAAGTCAATGTTTATTATAGAAAAAGCATGCCTTAGACGCTTAGAGGGCTCATTATCATCCAGAATGAGGCCGATGTATCATATGAACATTTTAGTGGTTAACAAACAGGTCTCCTGAGTTACAGTTATTGGCATCAATAAAGAAGTGTAGTGGGAAGTGGAGAGCACCCTGAGGGGCCCCGGTGCTGGATGGAATTTTCTCTGCTCTTACTTGCTGCTTCTTGTCTGCCTCCTATATGTGGGGAAGCATCCACTGACAGGAATGGGCTGGCACAGTGACCTGGGTGAGTTAGAGTGAAGGCCTCTGGGATGTTGTTGTTCAACGCCAAGCTTAAGAATTCAGGCTTTTATTCTACCTCCGGTGATAGAGCTCTGTTCTGAGTTAGTGGATGAGTTTGGTTTCTTTTCACAGAGAACAATTCCAAACAAATAAAAATTCATTACCTAAAGCCATGTGAAATGTTTCCTTTTGTTCATTGACGGGAGAGGGAGAAAGTACAGGGACTAACTCTTGTTAGGCATGCAACCTGCATTTGCTCCATGTGTCTGGTTCGTCAAATAAAAAAAATCAATAGCCATAAATACACTGTGAAATAAGTTATAATATTAATTTGTCAGATATTTAGAATGTCAGGGCTTCACAAGAGATAACAATAATCCATCATCGTTTAATGACATTTAAATAATTAACCTGGTATTATTC